GAGTTGTTCGGACAGTCAGCTCGTCAGTCGGGTAGTTAGCCTGCTTGTGACGGTGGTTTGTGTTTTCAAGCGCGAGATTCAGCGCGGCGAATATTCCATTGCTTTGTCACTCGTCCCAAATCTTCCACCCGTCTAATATGGTGACCGAATATTTGCCGCGGTGAGTCTCGTGCTTGAAAACACAAACTACTCAATACAAGCAGGATATCGGTCAGTTGGTGGGGTCAGTCAATCGTTCAGTCAGTCGGACAGTCAGTCGGACAGTCAGTCGGACAGTCGGTCGGACAGTCGGTCGGACAGTCGGTCGGACAGTCAGTCGGACAGTCGGTCGGACAGTCAGTCGGACAGTCAGTCGGACAGTCGGTCGGACAGTCAGTCGGACAGTCAGTCGGACAGTCGGTCGGACAGTCAGTCGGACAGTCAGTCGGACAGTCGGTCGGTCGGTCAATCGGTTCGTTGGTAGTAATTTGGTCTGTACGTCAGTCAGGCGGTCGATCAACTAGTTTGTCAATCTGTCAATCTGCTGTTCCATTGATCAATGTTATAGCTTCTGATCCTTTTTTAGTCCTATTCAGCGAAAAAAAAAGGATTTTGAACTTACACGGAGCATGATTTTCTGCGGTTGGTTATTATTATTCTTGATAATTTTACAGGGTGAAAGTGGTACACCAGGGCAAGCTGGAATGCCTGGCGAACGTGTGAGTATTGATCCAACTGATTCGTCTTTGTTCTCAGAAGATATATATGTGTTGTGTGTAGTTAGAGTAAAATCAGTATTTAAAAAATGGAAAATTAAGACTTCACCAATTCAAATGATTAGGACTTGTCGCACTTAAAGACCAAAAGTCGTAAACTATTGAAAAAAAAAAAGAAAGAAAGAAAGAAACCATTTTACGGATTTATTGTTCCATTTTAGAACGACACCATGTTACATATAACAATTTGTTCGCTGGTTTACAAGAATTATCATGGCTAACATAAGCAATTTACAATTCTATCTATTTTTTCAAAGATGAAAATTAATTTGCCAAAAGTTTGTTTCTTGAGACCACTGTGATTGGTCAAACTTTTCAACTTAATCACTCGTTCCAGTCCACATCAATTCGACTACTCTACATCCCAGATTCTCTCGCCAAAAGACAAAATGGCGACTCAGTGGGTTTTGACTTTGAACGCACCTGATGTAACAGTAATCTCGGTAGGGGAAGATGATCGAGATAAAAGGTAATCATCAATCCTAGGGTCACAATACTAATTTTCTGGAGAATATCGGTTGTTTTTGTAAACGTAACAACCATGTTTTCAACGGCGACCCTAAAAGCCGGAACGGCGAAATGGTGGAATGGTAGAAAATGACCCCAAATCCTAAAACATGGTACGGCGCAAAATGACCCCAAATCCTAAAAAACGGAACAGCGGAAAATGACCCCAAATCCTAAAACAAGAAATTGCGGAAAATGACACCAAATCCTACAACACGGAATGGCGGAAAATGACCCCAAATTCTAAAACACGGAATGGATGTCAGGGCATGTTACACAAATTTTGTACAAAGACACTCAAGCGTTTGGCTTATTAATTCCCACAACGATAACGCGCGTGACTAAAATTAAGTGTTATTAATTTTTTTTCTTTTAGTGAGTGGTATAAATAATAGTGAACCTTTCGGCATGAAAGATAGCCGCGTTTTCGCGTTGTAAACCTGTTTGGTTACCGTAATGATTCGATTTAGCGCCCGGGGCGCTTATTTACTTTTGGTACCTCAAGGGAGGGCGCTTATTCGAGACAGGGCGCTTATTCGGGACAGGGCGCTTATTTAAGTTTTTGAGAAACAACCAAATGGTTAAAGCATAACTTTAATAAATATTAAAATAACTAACAGTAACAGAAACTGCAACAGTAACAAATTGTTGAAAGTTCAGTTACTTTGAAAAGAATTCTTCATTTTATATACCGTAGCTGTAACAAGTATACATGTACGCTATGTTGAGTGTTCGTGAGTTTATCTATTCGATGTCGATGACTTCAGTGTCACTTGCGTCAATTATCAAGGTATCTGGTGCCGCATCCTCGACGTCGGATTCTGTGATCCCGTCGAAAGGATCCTTGTCACGTTAATTGCTCATGGCTTGTTGAACAACCTTGAGCCGTTCTAGACCTGCACGGCAGGGCTGATTTTCCTTGTAGTGAATGTGTCCGTCCTCTGATCCATCCACTGCAACGGTTAGCGCGCAGCTCTTGAATGAATTGATAATCATTGTTTTGTCCAAGCCATCCCACGCCGCAAGGATCCACTTAACTATCTCCCTCCGGGCTGGAGCACGCATGTTTCCCGGTGCAGTGAAAGAGTGGGCTTCACCAGCCATCCATTCATCATATTTCTCCCTGACATTTGCTTTAAAAGGCTTATTCCAATCCACGTCGGGCGCTTGAATGTATTTCGTACAACCCCCTGGGATGACTAAAGGATCTATCTTTGACATGTGTAGTTCTTGTTTGACTTTTTCCATCAGGTGGCACTTGATTCGCTCTCCAAGATTCGTCGGGTGAATGAAAACTTCCCCAGAACACTTGTTACCCAGTCAAGGGTCAGTTCTTCGTTCATCCACCCATAAGAAGATGATGCTACAACACATTTAGCCTTAAATTCTTCATTGAGCAATTTGGTTTCTCTCTTGGCACCGGGAAAGACGATAAAAGGCTTCAATTTCGTTCCATCTGCTTTCGCTGTTAAGCAAACTGAAACCTTTGTCTTCTCGTGACCAGTTGTTTTCATGGCTATGGTGCTGTGGCCGATGGAATCAACAGTTGTATTGGAATGCATGTCTTGTCAAACGGTTGTTTCGTCCATTGCTATAATGTCACTGTCACCGTGGGAGAACTTTTGACGTAGTCGTCTTGCTTGTAACACATATGCAATCAGTTTGTCAATTAGTTTTTCGGGATCCTTTTGGGATTCCGTTGTCTTGCGCCGTATGCATAACCCATGTCTGGTCATAAACTTCTGCACCCACCCAATGCTTGCCGTGAATGTTGGAGGAAGTTCCATTTCCTTGCATTTCTCCTCGTGGAGAAACCTTGCTTTGCTTCTGGTCATTTTCCTTGATACACGAAAACCATTAGAGCGTCGTTCGTAAACCCATTCCAACAATACTTCTTCAATATTCAGATCAAAAGGCTCTCTTCCCGCCCCGGCGAGTCGCTTTCGCTTGCAACTAGCAGATTCTAATTTGCTCTGGTTTGCTCGCCACTCTCGTATTCTCTTCCGGTCCACGTTGAACTTCTTCGCTGCTTGATAGTTACTATTGCATTCTACGGCAAACCTTACGACTTTTAGTTTAAATTCTGTTGAATAAGAATTTACCTTTTGCCGGCATGAGACTGAGAAGCATCAGCCTCCATGTTTTACATAAAGCGATCACTGTACGCAGCTGGTGTAAAGTGATCACGGTACGTGATCACGGTACGTGATCACGTTACGTGTAAGAATGGGTTTAGGATTGCAAGTGAACGTGACTGCTTAAAGCTGTTAACGATTCACCGAATGTAAGAACAATGCAAATGACATAAATTTTGAGGAAGAAGCGGGAAAGCAGCTACGCGCCGAAATTACCAGTGGTAAATATCTACGATTATGGCTCGTTCTGACTATCACTTGATTTGGAATTCGATGTTTGTTTATAAAGTGGAATTTTCGTCTGTTATACGAGGTCATCATGTTTACAAAGCGGCGTGGTCTCCAATCATAGGAGAGTCTCTGGCATGCAGGAATGATGACCGTAAAGAAGCTAAAGAACACGATGAATACCCAGTTGGGACTTACCTTGAAGCTGATAACAAACTTGTTGGGCATGTGCCGATGGAACTTTCCTTCCATATATTCACATTTCTCAAAGCCCGCCATGAGATTAAAGTACAGGTCTAAGAGACTGGATCAAGAAGACTGGAAAACGGACTTGTTGTCCCCGGAGCGTTTCTAGCGAGAACATCCAGCAGAGCAATCGCCACAAAATTTGAAGAAGAGATTCTTCGTTTGAAGGAATTATGTACTCACATGGACATAACAGTTGAGAAACTCAGAATAAGAATTTACGAAGACCGCTGATTTTGTAATGCATCATTACGTACGGTATGTCGGCTATTAAAGGAAGATGAGCCACGTTTGATACGTTTTCTGAAGGCGCTGTAATATTAGAACGGGGGCGCTTATTATAATGGGGGCGCTTATTGGAATAGGGGCGCTTATTAACAAAAACACATTCGAAGGGGGGTGCTTATTCGGAAGGGGGCGCTTACTGTAAGGAGGGCGCTAAATTGAATCATTACGGTACCTTTATAAAATTATACGTATACACAAAATCTTTAAAACTATTTTATTGCACAACGTTCCAGAACGCATTAAAATCAACCAAAACTTCTCAGGAAAAACTCAGCACGTGATAATCACGAGATTCTGTGACGTCACAGTTTGAGAAATTCTACACTCTCCCCACCCATTAGTCTAAGGACCAATGCCGAAACTTAGATCATACTCACTCAAACCAAACACTTAAGTTTTCTTAGAATCAATAAACCCGCTGTCTCTTAAAATCACTCATGATTGCAGCCTGTCTTCTCGGTTTTTCTCTTGCGTTCCTGGTACTCTCTGGTGGATCTTCTCCAAGGTCTCCCAATGGTTCTGCGGTTAGCAGAAGGTGTAGTAATGATTCACGTCATGTAGTAATGATTCACGTCAGCATGATTCACGTCATCACCCTTGCCACTTTCTTTAGATTCTAAAGCAATCAAATGTTGAATCGGACGTTTAAACTCTGTTAATTTCTTTTGCTTGCCAGCAACAGTCACCAACGCTCCCCGAACCTTGTCATCTCGTCCTTTCAGCAGCTTTTTAACACGGCCCAATCTCCAAGTACTTCTCGGGGTGTTTTCTGCTCTCACAACGACCACATCTCCTTCTCTAACATTTGACTCTCTCTGCTTGTTCTTGTCGTTAACTGCATACTGATGAAATTGACGGAGTTCTGTGAGATACTCCTTATGCCATCTATTCCAAACGTGGGACAAAAGTACCTTGAGGTACTTTGCTCTTTTGTTGACTTCATTCGCAGTACCTGCTGGTGAATCCTCATCTAGTTCCACCTTCTGATCGCTGGACAGCAACCTCCTCCCTATCATCAAAATGGGACGGCGTTAAAGGTTCCTCAACTTCATCGCTGTACACATAGGTGAGTGGACGAGATTTCAACACTCCTTCAACTTCCGCGAGGACTGTAAGTAACTCTTCGTAACTCAGTTTAGCCAAACCAATGATTTTCTTCAAGCTGCCCTTGGTGCATCGAACCATCCCCTCAAAAAAACCTCCCAATCATGGGGATCGTGGGGATTGAACTTCCAGGCAACGCCCACGTTCAGGATAAACTGTTGGACTTCTTTGCTTTTGAAAGCCTTCGCATTGTCTGAGATAAACAGCTGATTCACTCCTCTTCTTGCAAAGAACCTTTTCAAAGATCCAATGAACGACTACGCATCCAAGGCAGGAACCAAATCCAAGTGAACTGCCCTCGTTCTCGCACACGTAAACAATACTACGTACGCCTTGTGCATCTTTAGTTTCCCTTCTCCTTTAAACACATTCTTCACATAAAGGAGACCGGCGAAATCCTCTCCAGTGTTCGCAAAAGGGAAACTTTTCTCCACT